CTTGCTTCTTAGTTTTTCTATGGAGAGCACATAGTAGTGCGTGAGTTAGGCAGTTCCTTTCAGAGTTCGTTTTCTTTTTGTACCGCGTTCGTATCGGTAGCCTATCGGCGCTTTGTGGCATCATATACGACTTATAATTATGTCTGGAGTGGCTTATTGCCCGAACAGTTCGTACTGGGTAAGACGAGATCATTGAATTTGAGATCAGTGCAATCTGAGTATGTGAAGTAAAAATTAAAGAGCTAAGACCATTGTTTGGCTCAGAATGAGGTGATAGTTCTTGCCAAGAGTATAGAACTAATGAATTGTTGTTTCGGTAGTAGTTATGAATGTGTACAGGTCTCATCCGTCGTGTCAGTATTGTAAGAATTTGAACAAGACCTGTGTATGTCATGCAGAGCATGGGATGTGTAGTGATTCCTCCTAAGTGATTAGATAAATGATCTTCGGATGATTGGGGAAAATGATATTGCTAAGTGGAAGTGATTTGATGAGAGTACATGTCTCAGAAAAAGGTAATGTGATTAAACTGATTATATTTCGGCAGTAGTGCGGCATGTTCTTGTTGGGTCCACTGGTGGTATTCGAGTTTGCTCGGTAGCACAGGTAAATATCGAGTATCTGTCGTGGAATGAGGGAGTATCAAATGTGTGCATGTATTCGCACTGGAAACTGGGATCAGGTATGATGATTTGTGTGTTATATGGAGTTCTGATGTACAGGCTATGTTGTGATGTTGGAAGTCAGACTGGTTCTCTTAGTGTTGGAAGATTTTGAACTATTGCATTATGGGCTATGTCAGGAAATGCCACAGGCTGCGTGGCAAGGTGCATTAGACTATGTTCTAGTGGAATGGTTTATATTTCAAGGACCAGCGGATGGCTGGAAAAGATTGATGTTCTTGATTGGGCCTTCGTGGCGGATGCCAGTGTAGAGGCTTCTACCATTGATTCAGTTCCAGTATTGAGGGACTGTTCGGATGCATTTCTTGTGGCCAGACATATCACCGGGTGAGATTGTGGATTTTCGGTACTTAATTGGTGCCGGACACCGTATCGTACAGCTCTGGCAGGGGTTATAGTAGTGGAAGGAGCAGCTTCGGACTTCTTAGTATTGAGTTCGTTGGCAGGCCAGCGTGGCTACGTATGTAGCTTGAGTTAGCTTGGTTAGTCCCAAGTTGAATTGTTGAGGGACAGGTTAATTCGATCGTTATTGAATTTGTTAGTGAGCTGAGGAGATCTAGGAGTTACTTTTTCTGTGTTGTGAGGCGTATGATTTGCTGGTTATGGGCACACGTGGTGTAGTTCTATTAGGGGATTCATAGTGGAGGTCGAGCGGGAAGAGTAATTGTGTGTCGCTCGGTAAAATGGAGTGTTGGGTATGGCCTATCAGGTTGCGTGTCGTGTGTTATCTGTTTCACCGTGGGTGTGATGAATTGCATTAGTGTCAGGCATCAATTATGTGTGGCTGTTGAATTTTGATTCACAGAGTCTTGAGGCGCTTCATGTGTAACAGTGTCGGGATAGGATCGCGTATTGTGGCGAGGCTACGTGGAGTTATGACCTTTCGAGGAAGATTCAGCTATTATATTTCTACGATGCGAGACGCAGTCTCAGCCTTGTGTTGTAATGGTATTGATGAGCTTGAGGTTGTGGTTTAGGCTTGTATGGAGATATCATATCACCAGAGTGGTGTTGGGTTCGAGGTGATCGTTGGGTTCATTAATGAATACGGACAGATTGATCTTAGCTTGTTAGGAAGATAATATCGAGGTTTGACCCGGAAATCTGTTGTGATATCAGTCAAGGGAAGTGGTTTCATGAATGGTTGATCTGAGAGATGATTACCGTTTATAGTGTGTTTCATTCATCGTCGGCAGTATATGAGAGTGTTGGAATAAGGCTTTAGCTAATAAGAGGTTCTCTGCCGGTAATTGGTTGCTGGGGACAACTGCTGTGAATAGAAGTTATAGTTCCGAGTGGTTGGTTTAGGCGGTATATCATATGTTTTTCACCTGAGGGAGCAAGTATGGGTTATTACAGCTAGTTTAGGCTTATTTTGAAGATAGATGTGAGGTTCTGATCTTGTGTACGATTTCGGAAAGTGCAGTGTGGTTCTATGGTTTATGGACTAGATGGATTGTAAAAATTTCAGCCATGCTGTGTTATCGGACCTACGCGAGATAGGGTGACGTGGGATCACCCCGGGTATATGATTGGTAAGATCGTTCAGCTGTTGGTTGGCTTCTAGAACAACTCTGGATACGCTCGTGGACGAGCGTTTGTTTAAGTTGGGGAGGATGTAACGACCCGACCCGTCGTTACGGGAGTTACTGCCCCGTTTTCCCCGTTTTATGCTTTTATATGTTTCATTATATGTGTTTGGAAAATTTGAAGTAATTCGGATAGAGTTCGGTTGGAAATGAGACAATAAGTCTCTTTATGAGAAGGTTAGTTTGGAAAAGTCAACCGAATGTTGACTTATGAGTTAGAAGGCTCGGAATGGATTTCCGATAACTCGACTAGTTTCGGGGGATGATTTGTGACTTAGGAGCGCAGTCGGAATTGAATTTGGAGGTCCGGTGTAGAATTAGGCTTGAATTGGCTAAGGTTGGATTTTGGTGAATTCCGGATGGTAGGTGAGATTTTGATCCGAGGGTCGGAATGGAATCCCGAGAGTTGCAGTAGCTCCGTTAGGTGATTTTGAATATGCGTGCAAAGTTTCAGATCATTCGAAGGTGTTTAGGACGGGTTTTAGATCAAATGCAAGTTTCGGAAGTTTTAGTTTAACTTAGGCTTGAATCCGTGGTAATTCGATGATTTTGATGTTAACGATAGTGTTTTGATGATTGGAACAAGTTTGAATAAGGTCTTGGGGTGTGTTGGTGCTACTGGTTGAGGTCCCGGGGACCTCGGAGTGATTTCGGGTGGTTAAACGGAGAATCTTGATGTTTGTTGCAGGTCTGGTGCACCTGGCTTCTGGTATTTTCGCATCTGCGGAAAAGGAGAGCGGTTCCGCAGATGCGGCTAAGAGATCACATAAGCGGTCTGGAGTGGAGTTGGGCAGTTCCGCAGAAGCGGGACACTTTTCGCTTAAGCGAGTCCGCAGAAGCGGACAGGAGGTCGCAGAAGCGGGTTTGGCTAGGAGGTGAGCTTCCGCAGAAGCGGAAATTGGTGTCGCAGAAGCGGCCCTTGAGTTTTAATGAAAAACTGCATAAGCGGTCATATGGCCGCAGAAGCGGTCCAGCATAAGCGGTTACGGGACCACAGAAGCGAAAACTGGGCTGGGCGACAGAAGGGTTTTAAAATAATATTTCATCCGCGACCCTTTCATATTTTTCCTCCATTGTTGACGTTCTTAAGAGCTTTGAGCAAGGAAATTCGAGGGTTTTGACTGAGAATCGCTTGGAGGTAAGTTCCTTGGCCTAAATATTCGAATTTATGGTAGAAATTACATGTAAATTGTAGAAAATTCATCAAAAACGGGTCAAGCTAGGGCTTGGAAAGCTGTGGTGTAAAAATGGAATTTGGAGGGTCAAACGAGCTACGATTTTGGTAAACTTTATATGCACGGACTCGTGGCGAGACAAGGAATCTGTTGGTGTAATTTTCGGAATTTTTCGGGAAGTGGGCCCGGGGCTAGGGTTTTACCAACTTCGTGAATTTTAGTACTTTTCGAGTATTTTTGATTGGGTTATGTTCCTTTAACCCATATTTATGTATTCGTTGTGATTTTGACTAGATTCGACGCGCGAGGAGGTCGATACGAAAGGAAAAGGCATTGCGGACCATTCTACGGCCGGATAGAGGTGAGTAGTTGGTGTATATGATGGCCTGAGGGTTTGAAACCCCGGCTTATCACATTGTGACGCTATTGTAGGGCGTGACTCGCATCCCATGGCAGGTGCGGGATTGGTTATGACTGGGGATTGAGACTTAGTCCATCCCGAACAAGAATATCTCTATATTAGCGACTGATACGCACCCTGTATTGAATATATCTGGGCTTATTGCCGTGTTTGGGGCCTTGTGCCGATCTGTAGCATCCTTAGAGGATGATTGTCATTGTGATAGCATGCTTTGTATAATCATTGATCTCAGTCCTGTGTTTAATCACTGTTATGAAACGCTAAGTCACTTTTCCCAAAGTTAAATATCTAAAGTATATTCTTCTAAATAAATTGGAAATTGGGAAATTAATTGAATCTGTTACGTGACTCATATGCATATTGTGGACTGAGTATGGATCGGGCTGCACGCCGCAGCGAATGATATGGTTATATTGCGCTTGGGCTGAAGGAGCCCCTCCGGAGTCTGTACACACCCCCAGTGAGCGCCGTCGACGTTAAATGGATCGGGCTACGC